GAAATTTGCTCAAATTAGAAAACTGCTCATAATTGCTAAAATGACTTGCTTTAGTTTGATACATTAAGGATGCCATAGATTTCACCTTTTTTTCATTAATTAATAAATATTTACCAAGCCCCGGGAACTATTCCAGACACTTGGTATAGAGCAGTAATAAAACCCAGTGTCTTCCTTGCTTTCCCGGGGCTTACATTCTAGTGGAATTTGCACATAAACATTCTTTTCCCATATGTAGTGTTGTAAGTATCTTCTCTTCCACCCCACAACATCAGCCTATTCGTGTCTTCAACCTGACTAACCAGTAAGCTTAACTTTCAGCTGAAAAACAGTGACAGATGGTCTGTAAACACTGACCTTCTTGGAAGTCTGCAGCAATTTCACAGCTATTAGAAAGGAAGTTTACAAGTCAGAAGTTAGAAGGAAGAGGAAGAGACAAGATGGACAAAACCTTGGAAAATAATATCAGAATTCAAAGTGACCTGAGTAAATTGGGGAAACAGCAAGAAGCAACCGAATAGGCTTCAGGAAAGACAAGTGAAATGCAGGACAGCTATAGAGAAAGACAAAAGTAACTTTGCACACTAAAGACCCAAGAAGACAGGTTCTAGACAAGTTTTCAGTTCAGAGATCTAGGCATTGACAGAAAGCCGGTGTTTTTGACACGGTAAGGGCCACCTTTCAAAGGTACCACTGAAATGACTAAATGAGAGTGGGGACTGTAGGAACCATGTGATAATGGCTTGTTGCACTTGTTTGGAATGGAAGCAGGAAAAATGACCTCTTGCAAGCTTTGAACGTCCATGAAAGAAGGATTACCTTCTTACACTAGGGGAATCAAATGACAGATAACTGGTTACTCAAACATATCCCTTATTCTTTCAAACTAACAAATCCATAAAACCTGATCCATAACTGATTCACTTTCTATCAGGAAATAGGCCCTGAATACCAATGATAAAGGAAAAAGTGTATTGTGTTGGAAAGGTTAGACTATTTTTATAAGTGTTTGTGTGGTTGTAGGTTTAAAGGCAGGTGGATCTCTAATTATGACTGTAAGTCACTCATTAGGCTATAGATCAGTATCTGATCTGGATTGCACCCAGATTTGAGGAAGCCACCTACCAAAGCCACGTGGCTGGGACTGAATGTTGTTGCATTTAGTCAACACTGTGTCACAGCATGGCATTTCTGTGATTGTTGCTGGCCTTTCCAAGATGAGTGGGAATTGATTAAAAAATTCAGTCTTCCTACGTTAGTAGTTTAATAACGGTGTCTTCAAGTACATTCAAAAACTAGAAAATACTTTAAAGAACTGGAATAGAACTTTATGCTAGGAAAGCTATAGCCAGATGGATTATCTGTCACAATTTTGATAGCTACAGTAGAATTCAACTACAGAACTCCATTTTTGTATGATTAAATTTTTTTGTCCTTATATTTTAATTTTTTATAAACAATGATAAACAGAAAACAAAATATTGAGTCACCTGCTTTTTGCTTATGTTTGATTCTTCCCAACTCACCTATTTCCTTATCCTAAAGCACCTGAAGGGTATACTCTTTTACATTGGTATAGAAAAAAATATAGAGAGACAGGTATGACAAAGGAATATTTTCTTTTGTAATCCATATGAAGCAAGGGGGGGTGAGTAGCATGCAATTTTTATAGCTTAGTTGTTTTTTAATTGGTCCAAATTAAGTCATGTGTAGTAATGAAGGAAGATGTATAGAATACAGATATAAGCCCCAGCCATAAAGGTCTAACCCTTATTTGATGTGTGAAGGAAATGTAATGATTTTGAGCAATTTTCTCCTTTTAAGGTTTTTACCCTGGTTCATTTTAAGTTGTTTACACATTTCATTTTCTGTTGAAATTCTTAGAGTAATTTTGGAAAGTTTTTATTTATTTATTTATTTGTGTTGGAAGACTAACTTTCCTTTTTACTTGAAAGAAGCTACAATAATAAATGTTAGGTATCAGGTACAATTTACAGGTTAATTTGCTTTTTAAAAATGTTGTGCAAACCCAGTCTAGTCTCTAACAATCTTAAATTTGTGTAACATTAATGATATACATGTTTAAGATTTATAATATTCCATTTCTTATCTAAAAGGCACTGTAGCCAACTCCTTGTAGTTTTTCTTGCAAGTATTCTATATATTTAATTTATCAGTGGAAGTTAATAGCCTGATTGACTCATTGTATGATAAATTGAAGATCTGCCATCTCACTGTGTTAAAACCATTTGAATGTATATGTTGTACAATTTCAGCAAATTCTCATTTAATAAGTGAAAAATTCTGTGCTATTCCTGTGCTAGTTCTTCGCAGGATGTATAGAACACAAACACATGGCTTATTTCCTAAAAGAATTGAAACCTTCCATCTCTAGAGATCTGACAAGCTATAATGTCCTGTAACTCTAGAGGTGTTCACTTACCCATTTTTGAGGTTAAAGTGTATGTTACTTGGGGCGCTTGGCTGGTTCAGTCAGTAGAACATGCAACTCTTGATCTCGGAGTCATCAGTCCAAGCCCCCCCATGGGGCATAGAGCTTACTTAAAAAAATAAAAAAACAAGATAAAGTATGTATTATTTGATTGGTAATTTACTGTATCACAAAGAGCTATGATTTCAAAAAAATATTAAAACTACCATGGCCAAGGTTTTTCTTCTCTTTTTTTTTACATTTTTCTACAAATAACATTTTTGTTTCATTCATTCAATATAGATTATTTATTGTTTTGAGGTAAACATAGATCCACTTAGAGTTATATGAAATAATGAAGAGATTGCATACCTTGTGCCCAGTGTTTCTCAGTAATATCTTGTAAAACTATACTACAAAATCACTGCCAAGATATTGACCAATATCTAGCAATCTTGTTCAGATCTCTTCAATATTAATTCTATTTAATTGTATTTGTGTGTGTGTGTGTGTGTGTGTGTGTTTAGTTCAATGCAATTCTATCACAAGAGTATGTTGTTTTATAACACCATAGTCAAGACACAGAGTAGCTCCATAACCACAAGGAAGCCTCATGTTGCCTCTTTATAATCATATGACCATATCCACTTCCCTCCCCCTTGCATCTTTAACTCTGTCAACCACCAATCTCTTCTCCGTTTCTATAATTTTGTCACTTCAAGAATATTATATATATATATATACACATATATATATGGAAATATATATGGAATCATTTAGTACATAACCTTTTGGACTGTCTTTTTTACTCTCTATTATTATCCAGGGATTCATCCAGTTTGTTATGTGTATCAATAATTGTTCCTTTTTATTGCTGAATAGTATTCCACTGTAAGGATGTGCCACAGATTGTTTAACCATTCACCGGTTGAAAGATATCTGAGCTGTTTCCCATTATGGACTATTATAAATAAGGTTGCATGAACATCCATGCCTAGGTGTTTATGTGAACATAAATTTCCATTTCATCTGGGATGAATGTCCAAGAGTACGATTGCTGGGTGGTACAGTAATTGCATGGTTAGTTCTATCAGTAACTGCCAAACTGTTTTCCAGAGTAGCTATACTATTTTACATTCCCTCAGCAAAGTATGAATGATCCAGTTTCTCTTCACCCTTGCCAGCATTTAATGTTGTCACCACTGAAATTTTCAGCATGATATCAGGGTAGTGATATCATACTGTTGTTTTAATCTGGATTTCCCAGTAGCTAATAACAATTCTTTTCATGGGCTTCTTTGCCACCTGTATATCCTCTGCTATGAAATGTCTGTTTATGTCTTTGGTCCATTTTCTAATTGGATTGGGTTTTTTTGTTTGCTTGTTTTCTGTTTTGGGTTTTTTTTTTTTAATTGTTGTTGTTGTTATATTATTGTTGACTTTTAAGAGTGTTTTCTATATTCCAGATACTAGTCTTTTGTTGAATTTGTTTGCAAATATCCTCTCCTGGTCTGTAGATTGTATTTTAATTCTCTAATATGTATATTGAAGTTACTATATACTTGTGTTTAACCTGACTATCCCCATACAATTTGCATTTTCCTTTCCTCAGTCACATTTTCTTTATCATCTAACATAAACATGCATTCTGCATTCATTTGATACATGGCTTAGTTATATTTAATCAAACTGTTCCTCTGATCTTTTGCTTTTTTTGGTTAAGGAGTTTTGGAAGTTGGGAGGTTGCAACTCATGCTGATGATATTATAACTAAGTACATCTACTCACAAAGAGACGAAATAATTTTACTTTGTGACTTTGCTGTGCCAAAGTCGAACAACCAGTTGGAAAATGGAAAATGGAATTATATATGTGCTGGATATTACGGAGTGAATTTTTTAAAAATATTTTTAAAATAATATCCATATGATTATTTTATCAGATTTGTAAATTCATCTAATTAGTATGCTTCCTATGGTGTACTAATAAGAGTGATTATATGTTATTTTATTTCAATTTAAGGAATTCCTTTCACAGAATTTTAAGAAATGTCAAATTCTTCTGTTGTGTCAACAACTGCTCTCCAAATGAGTGTTTTATCGTAATGTTACCTTTTATTCTTTTTTTATTTTCATTGAGAACAACCCAATAGTTTCGGTGAATGAGGGAATGTTTTGTTTATTTTGGCTTTTCTTTCTGTGTTTTAATTTTTTTTTCCAGCTTTTGTTTTGTTTGTATGGAAGACTATATTTTGCTTTTTTAATTTTTTTTTTTTATTTTTAGCAAGCATGGGAGTATATTCTTGCTTATATTTTGGGAAAGAGAACACCCTAAATGTGGCTTAATCAACATTGTAAACCATTTTCTTTCCCAATGACTCTCGGATATGTGCATTATTGGAAACACGTGTGCTTTAGTGGCATATATTTTTGAGTCTAATTAGCTGCCTGCCTGTAATCGGGGCTATGTCAACTGTTGTCATTCTAAATGTTTCCTTTCTTTTTTTCAAACACATTTGCCTGATTGACCTTTTTTTTTTTTTCTCTGTCTCTCTATGGGGCTGCTCCAGGAGCCATGGCTAATCATCTTATAAGCAATGCTCTGCTTCGTCCGCATGGTACTAACAATCCCTATAATACATTGCTTGGGGAACCGGCGGTCTGTAACAACCCTTCTGTCAGCATGTACAACACACAAGGTGTGCTGGAGTTTATCTTAATTTTTTCAAGTGAGAGTCCCATTTTATGTAGCTTTTATGGCCACATTCTATTTTTCTTTCCTTCCACCTGCCTTTTCTTTCTTTTGGAAGCAGACACACAGACTCCTTTCGCCTTCCACCCCTCTTGGTGCTTTTATTTTCCATTTTCCTTAGGTTTTCCTTAGTAACCAATGGATTCCTTCTTTCTGATAAACAAATGCTTGATTCATCAATCTGTGTTTGTTTCTCTGTAACGTTATAAAATGTATCGTGATGTGTCAGTGCTTTTCTTGTTGTTGATTGATTTCTATATTAAATACCTATGTATTTATTTTGAGAAATGAGGTATTTGCCTAAGGTAAGTAAGATAAAGGAAGACTTGATTCAAGCATCTTAATGTTATAAGATCAAGAAAATAATCTTAACATTATTGGGCCATGAAGCACACTCTAGGCGCAAGGCATTGGTACTGGTGAAAGCACTCAGGCCAACTCCATGGAAAATTACATGGAACTAAGCCGTGGAAAAAAGAGCCATTCAGTTTGCTACTGAACTGAATAATAGCAAGTCAGGTTCTACTCTAGCTTGCCATTGCCAATGTGAGCTGGCTCAGGAACATCATGACTTTTTTTTCTACTGTGGCTGTGTGCGAAAAACAAGGCTTTGGGATATGGTTCTTCTGAATATCCTCCAGCTCTAAATGATATACAAATTTAATTGCATCTCAAACAAATAAGCATAAATCTCTTTAAAACCACTTCTACTCTAAGTGTTTGGACATGGCTTTACCTTTTCTAAGAATAAAAAAATGTACTGGAGCACAAGAAATTAAAAATATTCATATCATACAGAAGAGACCACAGGAAAGAACTATTCAAATAAAAGTTTCCTAAAAGAAAAGTCCTGGTTAGGGATCCAGTTATGTAATATTATATTTGAAAGAAAATTCACTGTAACAAAGAGGCTGAAGTGATTCTTTGAAGTTGGATGTGATAGATTAGCAGTATTTAGCTTTCCCAGGCAATTTTGAATAGAATTCCTATTAGTCTCTGTGGGAATCTTTGCGTTTTCTTTTCCTTCTCAGTCAGAGGTAAAATATTAGTGTCGCAAGTGCATAAAACTCGGTGTGAATGGCCGTTCCTTAACAGTGTGTGTGTTACAGCACTGCCATTGGGTGTCTAAAACCTTCTGAGTTTCCTAGGTGACACCTAATCAGATACATAGGATGATTTTAAATTATTTCAAAAATACTGAAGTCAGTAATACAGAAGTGACTTCAGGAATATGGTCAGACTGTTTCTCAGTAGGGTGAAGTAATTAAGGGAACTTTAGATTTATCAAGTTTCATAAGGCCTGCCTGTCTAAGAATCACAGACTTTTAGAATCAAAAGAAGGGACAGAGCTCACGGATCCTCTTCACCACATTGCTGACGTTCTGTCAGCCTGTGTCCATCCCCTCTAAGGGGACCCTTCTCACCTCAGGATTTCATACATTCAATTGTTGAAATGCTCCATTTGTTACATATATTTTTTTCCTTCCACTGAGCCAAAATTTGCCTCTGGCCAGAATGCTTTGATTTGCCCTCTAGAGTAAAGAAGAGCAAAGTATTCTTCTGCTCTCTCTGTCAATCCTTTTAAATACTTTGAAAGCAGCTCATCTGGCTCCTTTCCGTCCTCCATTTCTCTAGTAAAACAACCTGAGTGCCATCAATATGAGATAGTTTCTGGGTCCTTCTTCGTGGTGCCCTTTCTAAATTGTCTCTCCTTTGTCAGTGTCCCTATTTCATTGTGAAGTGTACCTTTCACAACACAACAAATGCAGCTTAACAGAGCAATTTAGCAGACCTTATGAACGCTTTTTTTTTCATTAAATTAAGTGACAGATAATTGTATCATTATAAACATTTTACAATGTGCTGACATATTAGTAAGTTTTCAATAATGTTAAGTGAATATTTGCATCATATCTGCAAATTAAATCTATTCTACATTATTCACTTTATGTGAAGAGTTGTTAGAAAAACTGTAAAAATGTTTTACTTATTTAATATTGTTATAAAACTAGTAAAAATTTAGATAACTTTTGTTCAGCTTTTTTGATTATTCAGATATAATTTCTAATGTCTTATGTAATGAAAAACTAACAATTATTAATCTATATGTTTTCCCTAATTCAATATCTGCCTTCTTGTCTTATTTTATTTTTACCTATATTATAAATTAGGGGACTTTTCTAAGGATGGAACACTACTATAAACACTATCAAAGTGAAATTCTCTCAACAGAAAATTTAAAATAATACCAAATAGGTATAAAGTTTTATTCCTATGAAATTTATTACTGAATATTGCTCTTAAGATCATCAATAAATTCACAAAGTATTCTTCTGAATGGATTTATTGTGTTTTTCAGTAAATTAAATAAGTTCTACTGACTTTTCTTAAAAACAAAAGTTATCTTATTCATGTTTTTCAGAGTCAGAAGTGAAATTGTTTAATTAACTGTTTTATGTTTTAAGATTTTTTTAAGATGTTAAACTATGGTAGTGCTTAAAATAATTCTTTTTACCACTGACCAAAAATAAATCTTAGTGATTGTCATATTGCTACTAATCTTATGCTTTCAGATGAATGCACTTAATATTCTTACTGGCAAGGGGGAATCTTACTTGAAATGTAGGTGACTCGGTATGTACTGGAGTGGATTATGTTGAATTACCGCTTGGTTCTGTTCTGTGGGTTCTCTAATTCAGTTGCACCAATGCCATCCAAGCAAAGAAGCATTCAGATTTAAAGTATCCATATTTGTTTGTCATGCCTTTATTTAAAATATGTCGAGATGTATTTATAGAGTTACTGAAGCATACAGAGTTAGGAATAAAGATGAGTAATATACTTTTATTATATTGGATTCAGATTCTGTCTGTGGAAATATTTACAACTTCATGCATAGTATTTCTGGACGATTATCTTCTTGTCACTACTGGAGAATTCAATTTTTGTAAGATAAATCTCGCTATAGATTAACCTGTCAACAAGACAGAAAATAGAGAGGATGTCATGATTTTACAAAATAATTTACATTTTAAAGTAATTTAATTCACCCCTCCAAATTAAAGAAAGACATGTCCTTAGGGCAGGATATAATGAGGAATACATTATAGTGGGTAAGAATATAAGATTGTATTATAAAATATATAAATAAGAGCTATATATATACATATAAATAATATATAATAAAATATATAAATATATATATTTATATTTAATCATCCTGGCTGGCACTCAAATCTTTACTCTCCTTGGTAGATGGATATTTATATATAAATATATAAATGAGAACTATATATATATATATATATATATATGTAAATATTCTGTTATGGCTTCAAAGTCTAAGGCAGATGTGAAGAGGACATAGATGGTAGTGGACAGAGGAAATCTATGAGATTTTCTTTCTGATCTCAGTTCTGCCACTGATTAGCAGGGTGGGGTTAGATAAGGCTCAGCCTATCTTGGCTGCAGTTTCTTCGTCCCTGAAAAACAGGGGTTGAACTTCAGTTATCTTCTCATGGGCTTTCCAGTTCTAAAATTCTGTCATTTAGGGAAGAAGACATAATGAGCTTACAAACAATTTCCATCTGTTACTATACTGGTTTGGCTCTTCAATTCAAATTATTTTTCTAAAGTTATTTGGAAACTTTAAAAGAACTTTCCTCTCCATTTTGAAATATTGTTGGTCTTTTCTGAGAAGCAAATCAACTGTTAATGCAAAAACCATATCTCTAAAGCAATGATTAACTTATAACCAGTTGGAATCTCCTCAAATGAGTTGGCCCAGTGAGCTTCCTGGTTTTAATTTTGTGATGATTTAACTTTCCTGTAAACAAAATCAGCAAGAGCCGTCCTTTATGACCTGATTAAAATATGAGTGTTTTTTAAAAAATAATTTTGTCAAAAACTAATGATGTAATGTATGGTGATTAACATAACATAATAATAAAAAATTAAAAAATAAATAAATAAGATAAATAAATAAAGAATAATTTTGCTAGGATTGTTTTTTAAAGGATCGACTCTAAAAATGTTTGATTGCAAATGATTGTGCAACAATCCAGAAGAAAACCTGATATTGATGGTGGTATTTTTCTTCCCCTCACATTGTCTTGATGCTGAATAATGGTTGGATTTAACCTTTTTTTTCTCCATAGTTACACAACTTTTGAATAAGAGTTCCAGAAATGACAGTTCTGATCAGTATTATTCACAAATGATAAGAAGCATTTGTATAGGTACAGTGGGACAGTGGGGGAAAGATAACCTTTTTACATGAAGAGAAAAGATACATAAAGGAAAAACCTCATGGTTATGGAAACTTACAACTGTTTTTTTTCTCTGTATTCAAGCTAAAGATTTCATTTATAATTTTACTGAAAATTTTTAAAGTTAAATAACATTCCTTAGAAGCAGGTATGTCCAAACGTATATAAACATAAAAATATGCAATATTGAAACAGAGTTGTGGGAATCGTCCTGGCTGGCACTCAAATCTTTACTCTCCTTGGTTGGTGTGATAATCTGAACTTTAAAATAAATGTGTTCTTGTTTGACATTTATAAACTGTACAAACGCTTATTAAAGACTCATTTTATTAGCATGTGTTAAGGGGGGTTTCTTATTTCCTGACTAACATTTCAGTATTTTTAATTATGATAAACCATGTAACACAGACTCATGAATTTTGGGGCAGTGGAAATTATTTCCTTTGACTCTTTTTTCTGCATATCATCAATTTGCTTTTTACTCATGTTTCTTCTACTGTCGCTGTAAGCTTACTTGTTGTTTTTTCTTTCCTTTTCTTCATGCTGTCGTTTAGAGCCCTACAGAGAGACAAGTATGGGAGTAAAGCTAAACATTGCATATCAAATGTAATTTTTTTTAGTTCACTTTTATTGCATCACATATAGATGATGTAGTTATTAAAAACAGTTCATCTCACAATTTAAAAACTAAAGAGCCTATGAATCGATTTATATAAATTTCTGTTAATAGAGATTAGACGCTTTTGTTGTCTGATTCTTTTATTGTGTCACATGATCAACATAGTTGTTAAGTCTCATGTAATGTTTGTGTGAGTTAAATTGTTTTTAAATCAAGCATTTATTTTTGCTAAGTAATGCATAAATTTTTAATTTTTATTAGTACATTCCGTCATACAAATGTATGTCACATGCAACATACCCACTTTATTTTACTATGGCTGTTTCCAACCTGTACCTAATGCATTGACAACAGAAGTAATACACACGTTTCAATGCATCAGTCACTCAACCATAACCATCCAGCATACCATACCATTGCGGCCTCCACAGCAGCAATCACCCATTACATATGGCCCTTTAAAGAGCATTTACTTTTATTTTTCTTAACATTGTGGATTTGTCTACAAGATATCTTATAACATGAAAATAAATCGCTTCACTCTATGTCTGTGATGGCTGCTTTTTAATGAATCCTTTATGCGTTCCTCTTTTTGGAAACTGTTACTTGAGTACAGAGTATGCATCAGAAGTCCATATAAAAATTGATACATTTGGGAGACTTTACTTAAACCAGCAATGAATGAGTTCAGTTTTGGATAAACATAACTGCATCACAGATATAGAATGAATGCTATATTTTCACAAGTTAGCAATGTATTGAGAAGTTTAATAGAATTCCTCAATTAATTGTTCTGTAAAGAAATATCCTTTCTTATTTACGAGTATTGGTTAAATGTTTGTGTTTTCTTTCGTGGTTGCATTTGAACTGATTTTGGAACTATTATTATAGATTCTTGGATTTCTGTTTATTCAAGAGAATGCAAAAACCTTGAAGAAGCATGTGGTTAAATTTTATTTCACTGCAACTATTTCTTCCCAGAAAAAAATGTTTAATCTCCTTTAAACTCAAAGTTTAATATATGCACACAAAGTTATCACTCATTATGGCATGGAATCTTTAATACTGACACTATGTTTTTAGGAATCAGATCCCTGTGTCTTTACACATTCTCTTGTATTATTACCTACTGACCCTAAACAATCACTAATGGGTTTATATGTAGAAAAAAAAATTAGAAAGTAAATCCAAATATTTTTGTTTTGAAAGTTCCTGTGTGCAAATTATTTTGATGTGCCATTTACTTGACTAAGCATTATTTCATGACTACATCATTCTGACAAATTTAACATAATCCTTTTGTGATTTTTGTGTGTAGGAATTAATTTGAATCTTACAAAATTCTATATCAAATTCTTAGAAAGTGCTTGATTCTTTTACTTTTGACCAGCATATTCAAAGCACCACACATAAATTATGTTAATATTATACCTATTTTAATGTTGACATGTAAAATTAAAGGTAATGAATTATTGAATTGACTTTGATGTGTATAAATTGAAAGCTACGAATGATTACACCAAAATTTTGTGTTATTTTTTTCCAAGTTATAGACAAATATGCTTCAGATAATATCAGGCAATGCTTGTGTGGAAATTGCAAATTCATAGGTTTTTAAAAATTATTATTTTAAAGATTTATTTTAGATACTTTTCCATTTATAGGGTTTCTATCAATTGCCCAAGTGTATATATAGATATGTACATATAGACTTACTAGTATTTTTTGTTTATTTCCAAACATCTGATACTTAATTAAACATGCTAGCAATTTATACATACTTCATGGTTGGATGTTTTTGCTTTTGTGTTTGTGTGTGCGTTCTCTGGCCAATTGGATGTAAATGTCATAGTGTTCTGTAATCTTTTTCAGAGGGGCTTCTGAACAATGCCAGGGATACAAGTGTCATGGATACTCTACCACTGAATGGTAACCATGGCAATAGTTACAGCATTGCCAGTGGTGAATACCTGAGCAACTGTGTGCAAATTATAGACCGTGGCTATAACCACAACGAGACCGCCCTAGAGAAAAAGATTCTGAAGGAACTCACTTCCAACTATATCCCGTCTTACCTTAACAACCATGAGCGCTCCAGTGAACAGAACAGGAATCTGATGAACAAGCTGGTGAATAACCTCGGCAGCGGGAGTGAAGATGATGCCATTGTCCTGGATGATGCCACCTCCTTTAACCATGAGGAGAGTTTGGGCCTGGAACTCATTCATGAGGAATCTGATGCTCCTTTGCTTCCCCCAAGAGTCTACTCCGCAGAGAACCACCAGCCACACCATTACACCAGAAGGCGGCTCCCCCAAGACCACAGTGAGAGCTTTTTCCCTTTGCTAACCAACGAGCACACAGAAGATCTCCAGTCACCCCATAGGGACTCTCTGTACACCAGCATGCCGGCCCTGGCTGGTGTGCCTGCCACAGAGAGCGTTACCACCAGCACCCAGACCGAACCCCCACCGGCCAAATGTGGTGATGCCGAAGATGTTTACTACAAAAGCATGCCAAACCTAGGCTCCAGAAACCACGTCCATCAGCTGCACACCTACTACCAGCTAGGGCGCGGTAGCAGTGATGGATTTATAGTTCCTCCAAACAAAGATGGGACCCCTCCAGAGGGCAGTTCAAAAGGACCAGCTCATTTGGTCACTAGTCTATAGAAGATGACACAGAAATTTAAGCCAACAGAACTGCTAACACCTGGTTGACTGTTCTGAGTTGATATAAGCAGTGGTGATAATGTGTGTACTCCTAAATCTTTATGCTGTTCTTGAGAGACAAACACAAACTTTCAGACTTTTTTTTTTTTAACTGGGATTTTTAGGTCAGCCCAGGGGAGAAAGATAACTGCTGAAATTCCCCTGTGCCCTCTCCTTTCCTGTCTTTCCCCCTCAGATGGAGACTTCATTATGTTAATGAACGAGATACGAAGAAAATGGCACTCATTGTGGCCTTGTTGAATTCTGTTGTGTTTGTTCTAACATCTCTGATGCTCTGTTACTATGATAACAAGGACCTGATTTTTAAAAGGCCAGAATGGTTGTTTGAAATGAGTAACAGTGCTGCATCTAGATTGGAGTGCTGCACAAACATAAAAACAAAGCAAAACTGCATCACATAGCGGTTTTTAGTCACTCACAACCTGAATTCACCGCAGCAGGAATAGCTGTGGAATACAAGATAAAACAACAGAATAATGAAATGGAGGGGAATTCTAGAATTATATGCTAAATGCATATTTTATGATTTGCTGTATTAACTGATGATAAAACTAATGGCAGAAAAAAATTGAACAATTTCTATGTAATGTACAGATACTAGCATTGCACATATAGTCAGCTTTCTGTTCCTCCAGAATTTGAGTCCTGTTAATGTAGTGGAAAAAAAGAGATATTTTCTTTTTCTTTCGTGCTGGTCTTGCAAGTTTGTCTACCAGTAAGAGAGCAAAGTTTCCTTCCTTTCTTCTTTCTTTTCTTTCTTCCTTCATTTTCTTTTCCTTTTTTCTCTCTTTTCCTTTTTTCTTTCTTTCTGCTTTTTCTTTCTTTCTGCTGTTTTTCTTTCTTTCTTTCTTTTTCTCTTTCTTTCTTTCTTTCTTTTTCTCTTTCTTTCTTTCTTTCTTTCTTTCTTTTTCTTTCTTTCTTTCTTTCTTTCTTTCTTTCTTTCTTTCTTTCTTTCTTTCTTTCTTTCTTCTTTTTTTATTGCTTTTTTTTCTTTAAAATTTCACCTGGCAAAAAATAAATAAATAAATAAATGAAACTATCACTTTATAAGAATCATTTTCTAGTAATACAAACAAATTATTTTTTACAAAAAAAAATAAAATAAATAAAATTAGACTTTCTTCCCTCACTATATATCTTTATTCAGTCAGAGTATTTCCAAGAGCATTTTTGCAAATTAGAGCAGGACGAACTTTTATGTTTACAGTGCACATCTGTTGTAATGCAAAGCATATTTGGCAAGCAGTTCATCACCAAGACAGTAGCTATGATTCTAGAAGTCAAGAGGTGTCAATAGAACTAGTGGGGCTTCTGCATGTGAAAAAAAAACAAATGGTATCCCATAGGCGTTAAAGTGCTGAATGCTCAGTCTGATCCCCAAGTGGGCACCTGCACTACCAATTTTTAAAGGAAATTCACTCCCTTGTAGTAAGAATTGAAAGGTAAAGTTATTTTGAAGTGATTTTTTTTTAAACTCTTCCGTTTATTAACAGGAAAATTTATTTATTTGACAGGATTTTAAGTAATGTAGGAATACAAGAGGTAAATTAGCAGCACATATAATTTTTTTTTAAATTTATGATCCATTTTGTATGGTCTCAAAGTTGGATGACCTCATTACTAATATTTGTTGTAAAAGTGAAACTTGTTTGCCAAACAATAAACAACTGATTGAGATTTAGAAGATACTGTTTTGATGTATGTACTATATGATTAATTACTCTTTTCATTTTTCTCATCTTTCCTTCTGTTTTCATTATATATACTTTGCTAATCCTCTATGGCCCAAATGAGCCAGGCAAAAGAAATCAAATCTGCCTAGATGGATAACCTAAGCACAAAATTACACCATTTTTGCAGACAAAGTAAACCAGAGAAATGGGATAGGCATGTGTATGTTGGATGAAATAAGATATATAACTTACTTTTAAGCAGGTTAATATGTTACTATGTGCTTATTTTATAAACCAGCTGGAGTCACTATGCCTCCTATAAAAGCCAGCTTCAATCAGAGATTTAAGCATGGAATTGGAGGAGGGTGTGGGTCATGTCTTTTCCTTCCTTGTAAGTCCCATTTCGATGTTAGAAATTTAAAGTCACTCAATTGGCTAAAAAAATGCCAGAATAATGGCAAAGTGAATATCCATTTTATAAAGATAATATATTTTTATGCTAATTTTTCTTGTCCCATATATGGAAAAAAGTCCTTTCAAAGAAACTTTCTACATCTCCAGTTACTGAAGAACCTTTACCAGCAGTGTCTAAGCATGGAGTCCCTTCTAGAGCAAAGCCAGAATGAATTTGCCAAATTATAATTTCTCTTGTATGTAATATTTTGGTGATTTCTTTTTTTTCTTCCCCCTCCAAATCTAAATACCATCAATCTATAAATTAATTTCTTAAATTAAGATAAAGAGTAGTTTACAGAATAGCCAGTAATCTATATATAGTTTTAAAATATATGACAAAAAAAATTCTGGGCTGGACCAGAGTACATCATAACCTTAATATCACCTTAGAATATCTTACTTATCATTCCTTTTTGGTCACTTAACTGAAGTATTTTTTAAGTCTCCAGATTTTTTTTTTAAGTTGCAGGAGAAACACAAGCTTTAATGGTAATTAGGTTTTCTCATACCACCCTATGACAATATTAACACCTGACAGGTGGTTATCCTATCTGTTACATAGAATACAGTTGGTAATGAAAGAACCCTTTTTAGACAAGTTTAAGGTAACTTCAGAAACACAGATGTTGGTCTGTGGATAATGAGCACTTATGCTTGTTTTACCAATTCAACAGAAATCCATATGAAAGCAGCTCTCTCAGTAAGAAGCAAGTTTCACAGAACAATGGGGGAAACTACCTCAACTCAGCTTGCTGATGCTGCCAATTCTGATTTTCAGATATTGCTACCTCCCCACCCGTTATCTTTTATGTTTCATTATGTGGAAATTTGAAACAGGTAGCCTCCCCAGCTTTACATAGACCAAGCTGAAGAAAATCACTTGAATACATAAATTGGTGCAGAAGGCCATTTCGTACTGTCAGTTACTACCAAGCTCTTGCATCAAGATGAAAGGATGAGATTTTTGAATTTGAATACATCATAATTGATGTGCTTTCAGAAAGATTTAAGATCCCAAAGACTTTTACAGAAAGAGATTGTTTCCCCAAGTTTTATGTGACTATAATAAAACAAAACAGTAAAGAAATTAATTATGTATACACTTCAATAGAAATTTGTGTATATCAACCATGTATTCATTTAGTCCATTTTACACTAGCAAGGGTTGAATTCCTGAACTTGACTTTTTTCCCCACGTATTCCCTTGTGTAGCTATTGGTAAATTAATAATTTTAAATTTTTTTTTGTTTTTTTACCATCTTAGGTTGAATATGTTTTATTACCCTGTGCCATACATGACCTACTTATCTGCATATTTCTGATGTGTTTGTCTGATTTTCTATAAAGTAAATTTTCACCAAAATACTGTACATACATAGCACATTATTTGGATAGCTGCAAGTAAAAGTTATGCCAATGAAACAAACCAATTATTATTTCCTAGTAAAATAATATTTTCATAATATTTTACTCGAACTTTTTTTCGTTTTGAGGTCTATTTCCCATGCTATTTTACCAGGATACTAGCTAACAGACCTCATGTTTAGCTGAATCACAGACTGTTTGATTGTTATACAGCCCATGTTCCTAACTGATAATATTTATGGAGAAATCTAAATTTTGTGAAGGAGAAATAGATTTGACTTCCTTTAAGCTTTTTGAGTATCCCTCTGGTTCCACTCTATTAAAGTTAAAAATACTATAGTTGAGTAATAAATTGCTATGCTAAAATAATCATAATGACAAAAAAGAATTTGCATGAGAACAATCATGTTGAAATGAAAATAATCAGGAAACTGTATTAATCAAATGCAGATAATGGAAATATGTCAAGCAAATTGTCAAAGAAATTCACAGAGACTCTAAATTAAAAGTGTAGTTTATGGCCTATATTTTTTAAATCCCCATTAACCTAAAAATCTCAACATATTAATAAAAGATCTTTAAAATTTAGTTTTTTAAATTTTTTTAAATATTAACTTAGTTGGTATGATGAAACATTTCATGGTAATGGAGATAAACATATAAGACAATTAGTAATATTTATAGACTTAATTTTGGGCAATATCTTCAGCTTTTCCCCCCACACACACATGTTCAAATCAATTGACTGGCTTGTTTACTTTAAAAAATGACATTAAAGACTTTAAAGATTGACATTATAGAGACCAAAACGGAAAGGAAAAATAGTTTCTGGGTTGTCTAAAGATCAACTCCAAACTGATCAATAATCATCGCCCATTAGTGAAAGAATAATTTGTTTTTAGAAATTTTCACTAGTACTGTACCAAGGTGCTACCGCTTGAGATGTTTTTGGAAAAAACAAAACAAAACACTATAGAACTACTGTGTCAGTTCAGACTTAGAGAGAGAGAGAAACAAACTGAAACCCTAATTTGATTTTGAGCAATTCTAAAAATATTGACAAGAATGTCTTTTCTTCTCTAACAAAAGTATGTGAGATAAAAGAACAATATGTACAATATTCCTAGTATACTATAGTACCAAGGTATTAAGATTTAATTAGTTCATGTTTAGTAATTCATGATTATAACTCACCACATAAATAATTACTATGCATTTCTAAAAATAAATATATCTTATGTTAGATTTCTGCACATTAATAAATTAGGAACATGGAAGCATAAGAATGAAGCAGCAACTTTACAAAAATAGCTTATGGAAGCTTTTTGTGCAAATGAATTCTATGTGGAAAGCTTCTTTGAGATCATAAAATAGATTTGATGAATCCCAACCATAAATTCCGTTTTGTAATCGGTAAATACATCCTTTTTAAGCCATCTGAAAAATATTGATAAATATCTAAATTTTCATTTCTAATTAAAAAGTGTTGGTAGCTGCTTCTTTCCTGCTTAGGCCATCAGAGGAATCGCTCCTATTTGCTAATTAACCTGATTACTTCTACTTCCCCTTTGCTTTAAAAGTGAGATCAATCTTTAACTTTCACCTATATACACACTTACATACTTTAATTCCTTTTATTTACAGCTTGCAGAGGAAATAACTGTAATTTTTTTAATGAAACAGGTAGTTATTACGGTTTTGCATATTTTCATTTTCAATAAAGTTATTGCTATACCCTCTTCCAAGAAAATTAAAAGCCAACATGTCTTTAACATCCAGGACCTTTAAATTATTGAAATGCCTTCATTTCAACTATGTTTTGATGTTTCTTTCTCTCAGAAGTATGTCACACAAAATTTTTCTAATTTAAGTCCCATTAGAGTATTTCAAAGGTAAATGCAAACTATGATTTTTAAGAATGCATGGTAAAAGAGAACTTTGATTTATATGAGGAAGTCAAGGAAAAAAAGACTCTTTTGGGATAACCAGG